AGCTTAAGCTATGAAACGATGGCTTGCCATACACATAGTGACACATTGTTTTTAAATTCACAATTTAATAGAGACATCCACACACATCCTGAATATGTGTCATAGGAAATGCAAAGGGGCTCAGTCTTACTATTGAGAAAATAATGAAAACTAATAAAACACAACCAACATTATTTTCTTCAATTTAACTGACAGACAAAAAGCATGGTCAGCAATGATACTCAGACTTCCCCTATAGCAGTGTTTATCATAACAACATGCTGAAATCAACCTGTAACCATTGCTAGGAAATAAGAAGAGAAGCTAGCAGGTTAAGCGGGGGCTTCTTACACCCACATCCTCTATCGTAGTGTGTTCACTTCCTGCCTGTTCTGACTGATCCAACTCCCTGCTCCTGTGCCTGGAGAAGCAGTGGAAAATGGACCAAGGGCTTGGGGACCTTGGACCCTACACAGACAGCAGGATGAAGCTCCAGGATTCAGCCAGGCCCCGCCCTGGATATTGCACCTATTTGGGGAATGAACTAACAAATGAAAATATCTGTCTTCCCTTCTCTGTGACTTTCTTTTATATAAACAATTCTTTTAAAATAAAATAACTCTTAAAAAAAAAAGGACACCGGAACAAAATGTGGGTTGGGCCAGGTTCGGTCTGACAAAAAAACAGTGCACGGGGCCAGCGCGATAGCTTGGTGGTTAAAGTCCTCACCTTGAACGCACCAAGAACCCATATGGCCACAGGTTCTAATCCAGGCAGCCCGGTTTCCCATCCAGCTTCCTGCCTGTGGCCTGGGAAAGCAGAAGAGGAGGACCCAAGGACTTGGGACCCTGCACCTGTGTGTGAGACCCGGAAGAAGTTCCTGGCTCCTGACTTCAGATCAGCTCAGCTCCAGCCATTGTGGCCACTTGGGGAATGAACCATCAGACAGAAGATCTTCCTTTCTGTCTCTCCTCCTCTCTGTATATCTGCTTTTCCAATAAAAATAAATGAATCTTAAGAAAAAAAAACAGTGCACATTACAGAATACCAAAGTGAGGTGGTGACCTGTACCAGATGTGACCGCAGCGCCCATCAGCACACATGAGAACCAGGGAGGGAGGGGGGAGCTGGCAGGGGGGCAGACCAGACCAGGCTGGGCTACAACACCTGTGCGCCTCCTGTGCACTAGATTAGGGAAAAGCCAGGCTGGGCTGATTGTTCCTACTGGTGCAAGCAAAAATTAGAGTGGGTGAGGGTTGGTTGGGCTTTGCCGCAGCATCAGCTGGCAGATGCTGGCACTGGGGGCTAATTCTGTCAAGTTAAACTGCAGAACCACCTGGAGAGTGCATAATCTGGGAGTGGGAGTGGCCCAGAAGGGAAATAGTGGGCATCTCCCTCTTGGGTTATCACTCCCACTGGAGAGCATGAAAACCAGGACAGGGGCAGGGGTGGCTAGACAGAAAGGCACCCAACAGCATGTGTGTGGGCTGGATAGTGGAGCTGGTTAGGTTGAACTAGGCTTCAATGCCCATTGACATGTATGAGAGCTGAATGGGATGTGGGACAGACTGGACTAGTCTGCTGCACATATGGCAAGCATGGGAACCAGGGTAGGGGGCGGGCCTAGTGGGGGTTATTGTGGGTCGCTCCGACTAGGTTACAGCTCCCATGGTTTATGTGAGGGCCAAGTGTGTGCTAGGCAGAATCAGGCTGAACTGCAACACCCATTGGTTCCAGGGCTGGAAACAGAACCAACCCAGCAATTGCAACCACCTGGTGACTGGGGTGATGGACTGTACCAGGCCCTGTACGTGCCAAGCACCAACAAGAACCTGGTCTGGGATTACCTTAGACAAAGTTTCTTTGGGAATCTCCCCAATTGATCTACCGGACTCAGAACCCTAACCATGAAAAGACAGAGGACAGAACAAATCAATCAACTACCCCAGCCATATGTTGGCAGTGAAAAACTGGGCAAACGGAGACTCTAAGATGGACTATGTCAATCAGTGGATTCTTCAGCGACCTCATTGTGCTTGGAATGGTGAGATTGGCAGCAATTCAGAACTGTTGAACTATCAAAACCACTTGAGCAAGACCCTCGGAGCATGCCTCACATCTGGGACCTGGGACAGGTGGGAGATTGGGTGGGGCTTTTTCCTTTACCTCCCCCTTTACCCCAGATTAAAAAAAAAAAGTGGAAATCATAGTCTTATCCACTTTCCTGCAGCCCTTGAACCTTTGTGCCCTAATTAACTATGTAAAGATTGTCAAAAATAAAGAAAAAAAAACAGAAAAAAAATTGGTACCACCAGGTTAAAAAAAAAAATAAGGAAATAACAAAGGAACCTTTTTAAAGTTTATGGACAAATAAAATTTTGGTACAAAAAAAATTTTGAAATGCAAGCATTTTTTTTCATAATATGCATTTTTCATGAACTTCTTCCATAAATTATGCAATCATGGACTCCCAAATGTTTTCCCACCAAATAAACATTATCTTAATTTCATTTTCCATGAATTGTTTAAAGTATAACTCACATTAGTTAATACAGAAATGCAATTGTATAGAGTCAGTGATTGACAAAAAAGCAGTAAATCTAAATATATATTTTGATACATAAATTCAACTCCATAAGAGACTGACATTGCTAGATGGCGGTGCTGGTACCTAACAGTATATTTAGTAAGTTTCTATTTAGGGGCTGCCTTTTTTTTCCTCTAAAGAATGTATATATGTACAGAAATGAGAAAATTTCAGATAAAAGAAGCATGACTGTCTCCTAACAGATAATGTGAGAGTTCTGTTGGTTGTTTACTGTATTCTTTTGGATCATCTGACAGTTTGCCTTTAACCAGGTATATATATTATTTTCAATAAACAACAAGAAGAAACGCTTAAAGCCAAATTTCAAAAAAGAAAAAAAAAGGTCAGCAATAAACTAGTTTGTAATTAATAAAAACAGAGGGTGTTGAGTCTGAACAGTTCAACCCATCATCTGTACTTATGTTAGCAGTATTCACATTGTCTTAGAAGACAAATACTCTACCCAGCAAGTATTTTGAATCACAGGTATTTATAAACTGTCAGGGTTTTTCAAATATTGCTCATATATGGGAAAAAAATGACAAGCAGTTAATACAATAGCTTCAGATGGAAAAATACAAAAACAAAAACACGTGACTGATTCCTGCTAATAGCAAGCTCAGTGAATGACAATCACTTTGGCAATAATCACCACGTCAAATGGAACAGTCCACGTCATGATTCCTGGTTAAGCAATACTGTAATTTTTAGAACCCAAGTGTCTCAGAACTAACAGGAAATAAAAATACAGGAAAAAAGGCCTTTTTCTCAGGCTTATCTTAGAGCAATGTCAACGTCAGCAAATTGTTAACAAATTTTTGAAATTACTATAAGAAATTTCACACTTACAAAATACAAACAAACTATCACGGAAGTGCATATTTAACCTTGCAGTTAACATTAGAGTTCCCTAGTTCAACTCCCACTCTGGCTTCTGACTCCAACTTCTTACAAATGCAGATCCTGAGAGAGACCAGTGATGGCTCAACTGACTGCATTGCTACCACCATCCAGCAAGACTGGAAGTAGACTGACTTCCGGGCTCCTGGATCTGGGCTCCACCTGACCCCAGCCACTGCAGTCATTCAGGGGAGCAAACCAGCAAAAGCTTTCTCAATCTTCATTCCTCTGCCTCTCAAATAAATAGTAGTAAGTGTTGAAAGTACTACTAAAATTGTAAACAGTATTACACACATTTAATTTCACTGATTAAATATAAGGCTCAAACTATTTGTCATTTTTTTATCTTCCCTATGCTATTTTACTGTTGACTCCTGCAATCTTGACACTGAAATTTGTCCCTGGGGGGCCAGCGCAGTGGTATAGCAAGCTAATCCTTCACCAGTGGCACCAGCATCTCATATGGGTGCTGGTTCGTGTCTCAGCCATTCCACTTGTGATCCAGCTCCCTGCTAACAGCCTGGCAAGGCAGTAGAGGATGGACAACAACAAGGCCTTGAGCTCCTACATCCACGTAGGAGACCCACAAGAAGCACTCGGAACCCATCTTCAGTCCAGCCCACCTCTGGTTGTTGTGGCCATTTAGGAGCTGAACCAGAGGATGGGGGATTTATCTCTGCATCTTCCTTTCTGTTCATTTAACTTTTAAATAAAATAAGCATTTTTTTAAAAAAGAAATTTGTACATAACATTCTCCTTTACCCAATCCATAGCATGTATTCTGCAGAATAAACTTTGGCTAAGAGGTCATTAAATCAACTAACTATAGTCACAGACTCCTATCCATTGCTTTACTACTCAAATGCACACAGTGACTGCTTCTGGACCAAGGATCAAAAATGCAAGCTAGGAAGTAGTCAGAGTAGTCCAACAAGTAGTCAGAGGCCCAATTGCTTAAGCAATTGCCACCATGTCGTTAACAGAAAACTGGAGTCGGAGCTGGAGATGGAAAATGTCCCACCTACCTTAATGTGGGATGAGTGTGTGTTAACCACCAGGTTCAAGGTTGCCCCAAGGGCATCTGTGCTTTCTGGTTTTTTTTTTTTAATCACCAAAATCTATGTAAATACAAAAAAGTCCTCAACTGTTTCTCTGCAGTACAACCCCAGACTTGAATGTAATTATGATTATGAAGCTGATTCAGTGCAGTGAGTCATGCTTCCCTGACTCTGCCTATGGACTCCTTATCTCAAAGAAAATGCAAAACATCTGACAAAATTGTCTCAAGATTTCTACAGGATGACACTATTAATTTAAATCAGAAGACACCTAATGTAACACAGCGCATTTTTAATGCTTTTATATGTCAGAAAATTGCAGGGGGAAAAAATCATACGCTAAGCCATTAGTCTTTCAGTGAATTTACCAATGGATCTCAGATGCTTATATCCATCAGTGCGCTAAACTGTTACATGTAAACTAAAGCAACTGCTCAAAACTATCAAACAACATAAATTAAAATGACCACCTCAGCAATATTTACCTGTTGCATCAAATTCGATTGGCTGGCATCGGCGGGTAGAAGACCAATCACATTTGAGGACTTGTCCTCCTTCTACAATCCCAGGCTGGGTGGTATTCGCTTTGGGAGCTCCCACCAGAAGAAACATCCTCCTATGACATAAAAAATAAGAAACATATATTTTTAAAATATATTATTTTATTGTATTAGAAAAGGCAGAGTTAGAGACAATTTTCCATCCACTAGTTCACTCTCCAAATGCCCTGAAAACCATGGCTGGGCCAGGCCAAAGGGAGAAGCTTTATGTAAGTCTCCCATGACAGTGGCAGGTCCCTGGGCCATCTTCCACTGCATTCCCAGGCATATCTGCAGGGAGCTGGACTGAAGTGGAGCAGCCAGGACATAAACCAGCATCCATAGGGCTGTCATCAAGGATGCCAGCATCAGGGATGGAGGTTTTACCCATAACACTACAACCCTGACCTAAAACAAGATTTTAAATGACATAAGGCATAAATAATAACTTACAATGTATGAGAAGCAATCATTCTTCCAACGTGATATACATTTGTTTAAAACTACTCTCCAGGGGCTGGCACTATAGCATTGTAAGCTAAGCTTCCACCTGCAGTACTGGCCTTATATATGGGCGCTGCTTTAAGTCTCAGCTGCTCCAGTTCTGATACAGCTCCGACTTTAAGGCCTGGGAGAGCAGCGGAAGATGGTTCAAGCCTTTGGGCCCTTGTGCCCACATGGGAGATGAGGAGGGGCTCCCGGTTTCTGGCCACAGTCCAGCTCAGCTGCAACCACCATGGCCATTTGGGAAGTAAACCAGCAGATAGAACAGACTCTCTCTACACCCTGCCTTCTCCTTTTGTAAACCTGCCTTTCGAGTAAGAATAAAATAAATCTCTAAACAAAAACTACTCATTGAGGATATAATTTCCTTATTTAATTGAAACTGTCTGACATGAATATATTATTATAATTATTCATCCTGTAACATTATAAAAAAATTTATACTGGTCAAGCTATATTTTATGCACAGTTTAGACTTTGTATAGAGAAACATATAGTGTACTATACATCACATATTTCAGTAAGATTGTTTTTAAAGTAGATGCTAGGAGCAGGCCTTAAGCATAACAATTAAACTTGCCACTTGGGACATCCATCTGCTAGTGCCTAGCTTGAGTCTCAGCTCCTGTACTTCCGATCCAACTTGCTTCTACTGTACACCAGAGCAAAGCAGCAGATGACGCTCAAGTTCTTGTGTCTGCCAGCCACACGGGAGACTTGGACTGAGATCCAGGTTCCTGGCTTTGAGATATGGACTCCCAGCATTCGCCTGGCTCTATTCTGGTTATTATAGGCATTTGCGAAAAAACCAGTAATGGAAAATCTATGTCTCTCTCTCTGTTGCTTTGCCTTATAAATAAAATAAAAATAATTAAAATATATTAAAACATATAAAATATAAGCTAGAATGTATGTACGTGCATACCTATATGATACACACAGACACACATACGCTGGGTAGATTCAGGCAGTTTGGTTTTTGTGAAGAGTGTGTAGAATCACATGAGATCTGCTATGCCTTTTTTATACCCTGAATGCTTACGTGCCCTCAAAAAAACAAAAACTGAACAAGTAATTCTAAGTAAATGATTATAAGGTATAGTAATTCTAAATATTATCCTATGTCACTGGAAAAACTGTCTTGCTTTGGAGCTACTATATTTTATTATGCCATAGTGATTAATAATAATTTTTCTTCACAAGTACATTTCTGGTCAAAGATTAGGACTACCATTAAATTTCTCATTCCCAAAATAAAACACACTGAAGACAAAATCATTTGAGACCAAATTTTTAAGCACAAAGAGACCTTTTGTCTGGTTGCTTTCTACTTATTTATTTACAATAAAAGGGGTTGGAGGGAGGCAGTGCCATAATGTCACAAGCAGGCTAAACTTCCATTTGTGTTGCAGGCTTCCCAGACTGGTGCCAGTTCAAGTCCTAGCATCTCCACTTCTGATTCAGCTTTCTAATGGTGTGTCTGGGAAAGCAGTGGAGGATGGCAAGTGTACCTTAGGCCCCTGCACCTACCTGGGAGACCGGGGCAGACACATGGCTCCGAGCTTCAGACCCACCCTGCTCTGGTCTTAGAGCCATTTGGGGAGTGAATCAGTGCATAGATATCTGCCCCTCTCTCCTTAAAATATCTGCCTTTCAAATAAAAACAAATAAATTTTAGCAAAAGAAGACCTGAATTTATTATTTTCTCTAGAGAGAGTATAGCACAGACACTAGATACCAAGAACTAACTAGCTTAGTTTCTGCTCTCATTAGAGTTTACATTCCTTTCGAGGCAAGGAAAGTAGCCAAAAAAGAAACAAACTGCTCAGTTACAAGTCTTATGAAGCAAGCAAAAAAGGGCTGAGAGAGATTACTTGCAAATAGACAAGGGAGGACCGCTTCCAATTAAGCACAAATTTCTCTAATGAACTGAGAGGCCAGACTTTCAAATAAAAGGAGCTTTCTTGAAGGAAAAGTATTTTTAAAGAATGGGGAAGAGAGATCTCTTTTAGATAAAGCAGTCAGGGAAATTATCTCCAAGGAACTCCCAAGTATACTAAGAGGAACATTAGCAGACCATTCCCTAGGAGTGTGTGAATGTTGATGGCGGCAAGTGAGATGAGGCAGAAGATGAAGAGGTGGAAGGCAGCCCTGTAGAACTCAGTCTCCAGGAGTCAGAAGGCACCCATGTGTGGCAGAAGCAAGAAGGCAAGCAGGCAGATCACATCTGAGAGTCTGGCAAAAGCAAGGTCATCAAGGGCCTCGTAGCAGTGGTAATCTGAGTTTTATGCCAAGATCCATTTAAAGTAAACATTGTGCCCTGTGGGAAAAGGGTGTGGGTCAAGCACAGGAACAGGATGGACAAAAGCAAGAGATCTGCATCGTTCTCAGGGAAAGATGAGAATGACCTGCAGCAGGAAGAAAGAGGCGGGTGGAAAGATCTGGGACAAGACTAGCTGGTGGCTTGAACAAGCCACAAAGGGAAGATTAAAGGCTGCCAGGAGAACCCAGACAGCAGCAAGAAGCAGCCAGGCTACTTACAGAAAGAATAAGCTTGAATTCACTTCTGAGTGTGAGAGCTTAGATGTCTGTGTGACACCTGTGTGCAAGGTGGGACTCTTGAGATCAACCTGGGAGACGGTTGAATCAGGTCACAGAATGGTCGAGTTCACTAGGGACAAGCCATGCAAGAGAAACAAGGAGTGAGCTCTGAGGACTAGTGACATCTGAGACTCCGGAAGAGAAATAATCTAGGAGATAAAACCGTTCTTCTCAAGAAAGAAACTCCCTGGGTACTGGGACCTGTGGAAAGTCATGGAAAGCAAATTTGGAAGCAATCAATTCATCCAATTTCCCCTAAACCTCAATCCTTCCCACCCTGATAAGCCATGTAATCTTTTATTAAAAGAATAAAATTCATTTAAAAGAGACAGAGGGAACGGCATTGTGGTATAGTACATAAAGCCACTGCAAGCAATGCTGGCATCCATATGGGTTCACGTCCCAGCTGCACCACTTCCAATCCAGTTCCCCGCTAATGTGCCTGGGAAAAGCAGTGGAAGATGGCCCAAGTTTCTGGACTCCTGTCACCCATGCAGAGACCAGAAAAAGCACCTGGTTTCTGCCTGGTCTGACACTGGCCACTGTGGCTATCTGGAGAATGAACCAGCAAATGAAATAACTCTATCTCTGTCCTCTCTCTCTCTCAAAATCCAATAAAAAAGTAATTCAATAAATCTTAATGAGTGGGGGCTTTGTTGGTGCATACTTGGCTGTCTCTGCCTACAGTGCCCACATCCCATATGAGCTACAGTTGAGTTCTAGCTGCTCCAATCCCTACCCAGCTTCCTGCTGATGTGCCTGGGAAAGCAGCAGAGGATGACCTGGGTCCTGGGGTCCCTGCACCCGTATGGAAGACCTGAAAGAAGCTCCTGACTCCTGGCTTCAAACTGGCCAAGCTTTGGCTGTTGTGGCCATTTGGAGAATGAATCAGAAGGAAAATCAGTCTCCTCTCCCTAACTCTGCTCTTCAAATAAAAATAGGTATTTTTTAAAAGCAGGCTGAAACACAGAAAAAAGAAAAACAAGAGAGATATACACAATATTGCATAAACACTATCATCATTATGACTCCATTTCTTTAAATACTGTCACATGAATCCTGGCAAAGGAAACATTTACAACTGTGAAGTGGTGAACAGACCTACATCTTAAATATAAAGTGCACTTATTTTAACTCAACATTGATAGGTCCTATAAAATCTCATCCAGACTAGATGAGACCTGGCTGTGTATAGACAGCAAGGTAGGAGTACTGTTTCATAACTGTACCCTAAAATTCACAATTCAAAATAAAAATGCTACTCTCAAACTCCACCCTGTTTAATAAAGGGTTTATGCAGTCATATTTGGCATTAATAAAACACCGATGCTGACTCTTGAGCATCGTAGCAAAATTATTTTGGGAAAGAAATCAACCTTTCATTCATCAAGAAGCTTTCTTATGGGGAAAGAGTAAGACTCAGTAAAAGAACCCCATGACCCACAAGTAAGAAACCAGCTCTTGTCAGTACAGCTCCCTTCATCTTTTCTAAATCAGGATTGATTTTAACATGGCTTAATCACTACATGCAACAGTTTAAGTTATAGTTCCGAAGTTTATATGCATGAATATGTAAATTAGAGATTTTTTTTCTTTCCAGTAGATCAAATATTTCACTACAGAAATCAGACTGACTGCCTTCAACTGAGTTCAATGATGTTTGAGCACATGCTGGAGAAAAAAAAATTTTCTGGGCAAACGTATTTTTCAAGGTCCCTGACAGTAACAAGGCCCAAGTCACTTATTCTCCTAATAGCCCTAAGAAAGTGATAAAGCGGGCTGGACACAATAGCCTGGTACTTAAATCCTCACCTTGAATGCACAAGGATCCCACGTGGGCACCAGCTCATGTTCCAGCTGCTCCACTTCCCATCCAGCTCCCTGCTTGTGGCCTGGGAGGTCAACGAAAGATGGCCCAAAGCCTTGGGACCCTGCACCCATGTGGGGGACGCAGAAGAGGCTCCTGGCTCCT